ATTGTTGTTAATCAATACTCACGTAACATATAATTAGCCAGTGTCATATTTAAAAAGCTGTAATACCCGAACCTCGTGACATTTTTAGTTTTGCGCATAAATGAAGCGACCATGTGCACAATAAATTGCCTGTATAATTTGTCAATTGCATTCCTAGTAGTCAAATGCAAACACCGACCGATGGCCCCGATTAGAGGTGCGCCGGATTTTGATAAACCAAACACATGTATGTGTCCGGTGGCATAAAACTCCGCTGGGTAATATTCGGCCACAAATGGCTTATTGGTTTCGTTGATTAATGAATTGGTCAAATTCGACATTGGATTGAAAGCCTTAAAATCAACCAGGTTACTTATATTTGAATTTAATATTGTTTTATCAGCCATTTGTTTCACTGAACCCAATAGATTTTGACCAAAGAAACCGTACGACTGTGCGATCATTTGCACAAATAATAGTGATAATAATTTTAGCATTTTAATTTAACACAGATTATATTGATATAACTAAAATGTATTTAGAAATATGTTACTAAAAAAATTACAATGAAAATAATTTTATAAATAAAGTTAATTTAATTAAAATTTATTTTTTAGTAAAAATATGTTTTTATAACAAAAACATCAAATGTTTTATTTAATGATGAAATAATTCCAAACGCTGTAATTAAACTAATTATTTAATAAACTATGTTTCATTTAAACGATTACTGCCCCATCTAAACTACTAAACACTCGTTATAATATTTAAATTATATGGCGGGAAATTATATAGTTTTTGCAATATATAATAACTATTGATGTGCTATTAATATAAGGTATGCGTTTGCACTGTCCGTCTGCGCCGCCAAACCTCCAGCCATGGAATGGACACTGAATACAGTCGTCGCCCGACTCTGACTCAGTCACCACATGTCCGCCGACACCGAGATTTGCGCCCAAATGTAGATAATATGCGAATAAATAAATGTACCAATGGTTGCACTATAATTGTCATTATCATTATTATCATGATTATTTAAAATGTCAATCCAGTAATCGCTTCAATCCATGATATATATGGGGCCACACGAGTAAACACAGTGGGCGTAAATGGCAAACCACAACCACGTTTATCGGTAAACGATATGATACCGTACGCCACCCAGGTGCCATCGCCCAGTTGACAGTTAAACGGTCCACCACTATCACCCTGGCAAATGTCTTTCCCACCCAACAAATACCCGGTGCAAAGTTGCTTGGTAGATCGAAATAAATTACGCCATCTCATTGAGCAAACACTGTTTTCCAAGATGGGCAAACTGACCTGGCGCAATGTGGCCGATCCGTTGCCATTGGTTGCTGTTCGGCCCCAACCGGTTGCCACACACTTAGCGCCCGCCCGTATATTCAACCCCCGGGGCGGCAGACATATGGGTCCCAAGAAGTTGTGTTCACCGTTAAAATCTAGTGGCTTGTTAAGCTTGTACAATGCGATATCGTTTTCAAAATTGGTCTTGTTAAATCTATTGAGATAAATCTGAATACAAAGCAAAATTTATTCAATATTAAAGTAACTGGAAATTT